TAATTTTACCTGGCCTTATTTCAGAAAAAGTACGAGGGGTGATCAAAAAGTTCGCGAACTATCTCTATATTTACAAAACCACAATTCAGATCAGACTGAAATTTGGCACACAAATAGTCATACACATGTTCTATAAATAGCAGATGTTAAATAATGTTTTGCTCCTTGTTTGTGACATCACAATGTTAAAATGACGTCAGTATGTAGGTCACTTGTGACAAATAATGATTGACTCAGTTGTATTCAAGCAACGAATGGCTGTAAAGTTTAATGTATATCTCAGAAATTCCTTTGCAGTAGAATATGATAATTTGTACAAGGTTTATGAAGACAAAAGACTTACTAGAGGTTCAAGCATTTGCGCATGGGCAGAACAATGGCAGATGTGCATTAAAATCAGAGAGGACTACTTTAAAAAATAATGAACACTGAAACCTCATTTTATTATGCCCCGCCATGAATATTGCCAGGGCATATAGTGTTTGTCATGTCCGTCTTCCGTCCTTCCGTCACACTTTGCGTTTAGCTCTGTTCAAAGCTCAGTTTCAAAGAAACTATCCAAGATATTTTTATCAAACTTCATATGCTGATAGATATTGATAAGAGCTATGCAACTGCATCAACTTTTTTTGACCTTGACCTTTCCTTTGACCTTGACCTCACTTTTCTTAAATTAGTGTTTAGCTCAGTTCAAGATAGTGTTATCAAACTCCAAATGCTGATACATACTGATGAGAACTATTCAACTGCATCAACATGTTTTGACCTTGACCTTTCCTTTTACCTTGACCTCACTTTTCTTAAATTAGTGTTTTGCTCAGTTGTAAAGATACCATTCAAGATAGTGTAATCAAACTTCATATGTTGATACATACTGATGTAAGCTATTCAACTGTATCAACATTTTTTGACCTTGACCTTTCCTTTTGACCTTGACCTCACTTTTCTTAAATTAGTGTTTAGCTCAGTTTTAAAGATACCATTCAAGATAGTGTTATCAAACATCAAATGCTGATACATACTGATGAGAACTATTCAACTGTATCAACATGTTTTGACCTTGACCTTTCCTTTGACCTTGACCTCACTTTTCTTAAATTAGTGTCAAACTTCATATACTGATACATACTGATGAGAGCTATTCAACTTCATCAATACTTTGTGACCGTGACCTTTCCTTTGACCTTGACCTCACTTTTTTTTAAATTAGTGTTTAGCTCAGTTTTAAAGAAACCATTCATAATATTTTTGTCAAATTTCATATGCTGATACATACTGATGTAACCTTTTCAACTGCATCAACAATTTTTGACCTTGACCTTTCCTTTGACCTTAACCTCACTTTTCTTAAATTAGTGTCAAACTTCATATGCTGATACATACTAATGTAAGCTATTCAACTGCATCAATATTTTTTCACCTTGACCTTTCCTTTGACCTTGACCTCACTTTTCTCAATTTGTGTTAAAAATATTGCATTACTAATATACCCTCGACGGGGCATTCATGTCCTATGGACATATTTCTAGTTTCTTTAAAGGAAGTAATTCTGCAAGTGTGTCATGACCTTGACCAAGTGTCATTCACTGAAGTTCAAGGTCACTGGTAGAAAAAGCATCAAATTTTTGTTTAGGCTACAATTTTGTAATGAAGAATCATTGGAAGCTCATACGTGGTACATAAATTATTTAAGACCTGAGTGTGTGTCGTAACCTTGACTTAAGTTCCTTGTGGTAAATTCAAGGTCACTGGTATAAAACGTGTAAAATTCATTCCAGGTCTATAATTTTTTAATGGAGAAACACTGGATGTTCATATTTCACTAAAAGATTACTTATGACCAGAGGATGTATCAATATTTTTAACCAAGGTCTTTTTGGAAGTTCAAGGTCATGTTTACAGAATTTGAATGGGCACTTTATAAAGATTGTAGTGGGGATATTATTTTGAGAGCTCACTCACAGTACCTCCAGTTTTATACTTCTGTGCATGGATCTTTATGCTGTATTATACTCTTGTTGAGTTTTGCAGGTACATGTATTCATTTTCAAATTTGTTTTAGAGATATTTTGGACACTGTGAAGACTAGGGCTGGGACGATACAACTTTTTCTATATTGATATGTATCACGATATTTGAACCACGATACGATTTGTATCACGATATGTTGAATTGGTTATAAAATGTCTTTTTTGTATTGAAATAAACAAAACATTTCTTCACAAATAAGAATAATTTATTCAAAGAAGTTGTATACCTATTGTGAAAGAAAATAATTTTACACAAGTAGTGTTAATTATTATGTATTTCATATTTATATTAATATTTAGCATATTTATATTACATATTTAACACAAAATGTTAAGTAAACAAAGAAAAACATACGTCAGAATTTTTTTGGTGATATTTCGATATTTCTTCATACGTATCGATATGCGTATCATCCTCACATTGAATTGATATTATCGATATCTCGATATATCGTCCCAGCCCTAGTGAAGACTAGGATCATTGTACCTTGTTAGTTGATGCATTTTAAGGTCTCTGAGTATATCAACCAAAAATAAGGTCACCTTGGCCTACTTTCAGAATGTAGGAATATGACGATATTTAAATATTTCAGATACTAATTGGCTAAAAATCATCAAACTTTGTCGGTTTTTGCATCTTGGGTCCTTTTTGTTTTGTTTAATGACCCTTTCGAAAAATTTTCTCATATTGAGATGCCATCACTAACCAGTGGAGGGATGCAAATTTAGACCTATGCTGTGCACTCAGGGGCATTGAGCAGTGAGGGATCTTTTTTGTACCAGCACTTGCTGCCACAAGGGACCTCGGTTTACACAGTCTCATCCGAAGGAATTTAGGATTTGGCAGCAACAACTTAATAAAATTTCATTATTCCAAACATTAAAATATTAACTTAAAATAATTATCACTTTTATAGACACATAACCCCCCTTATACCATGAAAAGTAATGAGTCAACGTATAATTTTTTTTAGCCAATTCTTTTCCTAAGATATTACAGGTAACTCTTGATGGCTTGAACTTCAATCTGTCAAAGTTCTTGATCACTCGAACTGAGTCTCCGGTCCCAAATTTTTCCCCTATATAACTAAGCAAATTTACTCTTGATTACTCGAACTCTTGATCTCTCAAAATCCTTGATCCCTCGAAGTCAAAATGCAGTCCCACTATGCATATTCTATTAGAATTTACCCTCGATACCTCAAAGTGGCTATGTGTACACAAGGTTATATAATTAGCACCTTTACCTGGACATTTAAATGGCCCCAGGCAGAAGACGCGGGTCTCGAGGAACGGGATGTTTATTCAGGTGACACTTATGCTGCAAGGTGATAATTGATTTGTAATTAATCATATTTTGCCTACATGCTATCAAAATAATTATCATCAACTGTCTTATGATAATTTAGAAACACAGTGTCAGTGAAAAGTAGTAATGGATTAAAAGACGAAACACTAATTTAATTTTTATTTGGAGTCAGTGTCAAAGTTAAAGGAAATATGGAAAAGCAGAAATAGCCTAAATGTCAATATGATGACTATTAATGGACAAATACTTACAGAACTGCGTTCAATGATCATGTTTGGAATACTCAATGCTATGTACGACGCTGTTTTTATGTAAAGAATGCGTAGTATGATATCTGTATTACAAAGAATAAATAAATATACATGAAATGATGATATACATTTTTTTACTTTACTCAGTTTAATGAAATATTCATCTAAATTACGAAAAAATATCGTTGTTTTATAAAAACCACGTGCAAAAGGTAAGCACTGCATGAAAATCATTACATCTGGTAAGACTAATTTTAAAGCCAGTCAACAAACCCGGAAAATTCTGGACTCTTGAAAACTCGAACTCTTGATCTCTCGAAGTTTTTCCTCGGTCCCATGGACTTCGAGGTATCGAGAGTTACCTGTATTTTGTAAAAAGAAAACACTTTTGAGAAGATTGAGTCCATAAAGTTTAAAATAGTTTAAAATGACCCAGATTGACCTTTGCGGCATACTGTACATGTACATAAATTGGTGTATTCAAAATTTAGCGCAATCACTGGGTATGGAGTTGTTGGCGAAATCATGAATTAGCGCTATACATGTCGGTATATTGTATTTATAGATGATTTATTAGCGGTATCCATGAATTAGCCCATTGTTGTCTGCGCAAAAGCCACTAAAATATGAAGCCCACTTTTTTAAGTACACATACATTATTTTCTTGTGTTACATTTTGATACATCAGCCCAACAAAGTGAACATATTTATAATAATTCATGCTAAACTATTACAATGATTAAATATGGTTTAATAAAATGTTTCCATTCTATTTTGAGTATCATAGTTTGTCTAGATTTTAATTCTTATTTATTGACAAAAACAGGTACCTTTTCTTAAATTTAAATATATATTTGGCATTTCGGGATATATGCTGCTGAGAGGCAATAGCAGAAAAATAAGCATGTTGAAGTATAATATGTCTATCCATTGCTATGATGTATGTCTATGTTATGAAAGCAAGTTTTTCAAGCTTGAGCCGATTTGGTGCCATCCATTCCCAAGTAACTATAAGTCCTACTTAAACAAAATTTGCATGGATATTGATCTCAGGATGCATAATAAACTGGAAAAAAAATTGGAGTAAGATTCGCTTATCAAAGATAATATCCATTGAGGTGATTACCTATGTTTACCTATGGGCTTTTTTTTTGATATGTGATGAAATATTTTATATACATTAAGTAATTAATATTGTCAGACTATTTAAAAGTTCCGATTTCAGTGCCACTGAGAAACATACTGGACACAAAGGTAACTTGAGTCCAGAGAGTATAGTGAATTTAACAAACACATTTTGACCAACCTTGGGCATTTTTTTTTTTTCTCAACTTCAGCACCCTCCTTTTTTCATACACAATTAAGTCGTAATTTCTAATTTATATTGATTTGAAAATATATCTTTTTAAGGGATTTTTCCGAAGGTTCCTTCAAAGAAAAAATCCTTATAAATGTAATAAAGGGGGTAAATGCCTTGAGAATTCCACCTGCAAGAAGAATATTCTTTGTTCAGCCTGTCGAATGCAAAAGTGCTTAGACTGTGGAATGTGCAGAGAAGGTATAGATTTTATATACACTTATTTCTTTGAAAAAAAGTGATGAAATAAAAAGAATATTTATGTGAAAGCTTACATTTGTGTTGTAAAATTAGGTTTGTTCAGTTTATGCCAATTTAGTCTTTATCCCAAAAATCAACACAACCATTTTAAATAGGAATAAGTTACCTATAGCTCACTAAATTAAATAAATATGATTTTTGGTCACCTGTGTCACTCAGGTGACCTAGTGCTCTCTGTTTTCATCCATTGTGCATAGTTTGTTAACATTTGAACATTTTCAGCTTCTTCTCTGAAACTGCCTGACCAATTTAAGACCATTTTAGCATATAGCATCTATGGGTAGAGGGGAACAAAATTTGTGAATTTCATGATCTGAAGGATGGGGCTGAAAACCATCAAAATTGGTGCAATCTTAAAAAAAATCTTCTTCTATACTACTGGACATTAAACAGTTAAACTTTTGGCATGATTGTAATAATCATTTAGTCCTTTACCAAAATTATTAAATTCATGGGCCCAGGGTCAGCAGTTCTGGAGTTAGAGTTTGGATGGGGCTCTATTGATCATATGATGATAATGCATAATTTTTTTTAACAATCTTCTCTATCCTTGGGTAATTAGCAAACAAAGTAAGTGCCTGGTTATGCTGAGTAAGGATGCCTCTTCTGAAAATGTGAAATTCATTGCCCCAGGGTCAGGGGTTCTGATCTGGGGGTGGGGGGACTATATTGAAAACAAAATGAAAATGTATTATTTCTTTAAAAATCTTCTTGACCCCAGGTTCAAGGGTTCTGGTGAGAGGACTAGGCTCTTTTAATCATATAGTAAAAATGTATAAATTCTTTACAAAATTTCTTCTCTGCCCCTGGGTATTAAGTAAACAAATGCATGGTTATGTTGAGCAAAGATTTTTCTTCCAAAATATTGAAATTCATGGCCCCAGGGGGAATTCTAGTCAATTTGGCACCTGGTAAACTCGGCACCTGGTTAATTTGGCACCAAGTAAAGTGAATTCGGCACCTGGTATATTGGGTACCTAGTCAATTCGGCACCTGGTGCACTCGGCATCTAGTTAATTCGGCACCCGGTTTTGAATTATTAAGAATATAATAAATACTAAAAAATTTTGAAGATGTTTTGGATAATTATCTTTATCAAACAGTTCTTAATTTTCACGGTGTAGTACATAAACGGTTGCTATTGGAACAAAAATGCATTCAATGTTTCTATTCGAAAAAGGAACGACTGCTACCTGATAAAAATATATTGGAGACACTTGAAACAAATTGTAAAACTGTCAAAAAGTGACCCCAATTCGTTTAAGTCTCTGATTAATCCTTGTGCACGTAAATATACGTAAATATAATAAAAATATTTTTAAAAGTGTATTTTGAGAGAGATTTCTGGACGAAACCAGATCTTGTCATGTTACGGTTGCTATCAGAGTTTGGTATGTATGCACCGGTTATAAACTTAAAAAAATGCACCGGCCGCTATTTGAAAAATAATTTCTTTTCCATAAGGAAAGAGAAATTCAACAAAATTGTGCTGCCTAAATATATTCATTACATCTCAAACAGCATGTGAAACACAACATTTAGTATACTATACGAAGGAAACGAAAATTATTTTTTTTTATTGAAATGAAAGAACTTTTACCATCTGTACATCAAATCCTTTTCAAAGCATAATGAGTCTTTGGGGATTTTTGTAGCCTACATGTATACTTAGACTTAAATAATATCTAGAAAAGCTGAAGTATATATAACCTTTGACATTTTTTTTTCTTGAAGCGCAGTAGTGCATACACTTTAGCTAAAGAAAATACAACCAACAGGCAATAATCAAAACATCAGATTGATCTTGAATGGAGAAATTTTTTTTATTTTTTTGCTTGTCAAGGAATTTTTGGTTGATAGTGCCTCCTCAACTGAAAATGTATGGCTGTGCCCCCCCAAACTGAAATTACTTCCTACGGGCCTGTTTTGAGTGGGCTAGGATCCCCCCACCCCTCCCCCTTTTGGGAAAAAAAACTGTAGATCCGAACACTAAAACGGCTGTCTAATATTCTATCTAGTAAGTAACATATAATATGTTTATTATATTATTATATGATACATTTAAAGGAAAGAGCATTACAATTATTAACAGACATATGTAATCTTTTCCGAAATAGAAAAAAAGGGGGCGGGGGGATTGTGATCAATTCCACTTTCGTTCTAATTTTCAACACATAAATATTATTTGCATTTGGACATTAGGAGTGTTTGACCATACTGTACATCAAAAATTGAATTTAAAAAAATCAATCAAAATTTACAGCAATAGACTCTTCTTGGAAAAAAGGGAAGGCCGGGAGAGAGCAGGCCACCCTTTCTACGTGCTCTATGAATATGTTTGGAGCAGGACCGTTTTAAAGAAACATTTTACCCTATTATGAGCAAGTTTTAACTAGCCATGCGCATGTTATTGGTTTAATTATCAATGCCATACAGCAAAACCTTACCCCTTTCTCCCTTACTACTAGTATTTCAATTTAGATTTTTTATCTAGATTTTTTAGTGCTATTTTGAATTGCTCATGAAAATTTGTAGTCCATAATTGAAAAAAGGTAAGATCTTTAATGCCAATTGAATTTAATTCAATATAAAGAAAAAAATGTTAAATCGTTCAAATTAGGATCTAATTACAGCATATTTATACATATAGCACCGAGTAAACTCCCGTTTTTGTGATATTCTCCGAGTGTTTTTGTTTCAGATCTAAAAGCTGTACATGGATAAAACATTTTTAGTCGTAATACCGAAAATATGTTTTTGTCTTAAATAATGTTATGTTAGTATGAGATGCTGTAAACGTACAAAATAAATTTGAGTACGTTACAGAAATGACTGTTACGGAGATGAAAAAGTTACCATTGATTTTTATGTATTTATTTATTGTTTTTAAATGATTTGTTTGTACAGCAACATGCTCTGTATTTTTACTTGATACGTCTATATGAAAAGAAATTGATAGAACGACTCCAGTACAATAAAAATTCCTTTCAAAGCAGCAGGCTTGTTAGGAATCTACAGGAGGTCGTGTAATTAAGGTTGTAAAAATATGATGCAACACACGTGTTAAATGACCATCGATATTTTATTACTGAATGTTGAACATTGTAAAAAGATAAAACTCTTTTCCGCCAACTAATGGCTGCAGTGGTAATTAAAAAAAGAGTACACTTTAAGTTTATGAAGTAAAATATACTATGAATTTTGGTATGGCACAAATTTGGTATTTAGTTTTGGTACAGTTCTAAAAATTTTCAACAATAAAATTTGTAATTCTCGTCTAAGGATTAATATTAATGTTTATTAACGTTGTCCCTAAGTTGAAAAGATTTTTTTAATGCAAATACATTCCCAGATTATAGTAAGGAGAGTTATTTTTTTGAGTGAGACAATTTTGTTGGTATGGTGTCTGTAAATAAATTGTGAATTATAGGCTGTGATTATATATTTCAAAAAGGACATTTGATAAAATTATATACTTGAAAAACAATATTATGTCTTCCCTGGTCAGAAATTCATTGCTTAATAATCCAATTTTTCGCTTAAGCATTTTAACACCCTGGCATAAAAAATTACAATTTTGAATAGTACAATTATTATGGACAAGCTTTTTTTCAAAACTTGGTTATATACATTTTTTGTAAAGCAAAGGACAACGGGTTATTCTGAATATAAACTTCCATTAAATTTTCTTCTATTTTCCACAAAAATATGTTACAAAAAATTAAGATTGGTGTTGCTTCAAATGCATATTATTTAATACAAAATAATCAAATATAAAGACAACAACTAGAATTATAAAATTCTCTACTTAAGATAATTACTAGTATTATAGCCCTCTTCTTTAGCTTTAACTTTTCTATACCCGCAAAAATTTAGCGAGACTGAGAGAGATTTTAGTATATATTTATAAACTAATAATTCAATTTTGTACGTTTCAGTACGAATATTAGAATTATTCGAAATTTTCTTTAAAGAAAAGGTCTTAAACTTACAGTATTCCTGATTGAGTTTTCCACAGATGAACTTTAACTCATTAGATCTATACTTAACAAACACGCATTTTTCTTTAAAAAAATGACTTTATTCGTTAATAAAAAAAAATCGAAACGCCTTTTTTCCCTGTAAAAGCAATTAATCACACGAAAAATATTAACAAACCACTCAACAATTACATGGTTACCGAATTAACACAAACAGGTACTGAATTCACCAGATTCCGATGCCGAATTCACCAGATTCTGATGCCGAATTCACCAGTTGCTGAATTCACTTAGTGCCAAATTCACTTTTTCGTTAGGTGCCGAATTCACCAGGTGCCGAAATCACTTGTACCCCCCAGGGGCAGGGTTTCTGGTCTTGGGGGGGGGGGGGCTGAATTTATAATATAGTGAAAATGCATATAATATAGTGAAAATGCATCATTTCTTTGAAAAGCTTCTCTGCTCCTAGGTATTTAGCAGATAAGCTAATTGCATCATTATGTTAAGTAAGTTTGCCTCTTCCAAAATTGTGAAATTCCTCATCCAGGGTCAGGGATTTTGGTATTAGGGAGGGGGTGGGTGTATTGGTAATGTAGCGAAAATGCATCATTTCTTTGAAAATCTTATTTGCTCCTGGGTATTAAGCAGATAAGCTAACTGCAGGATTATAATAAGAAGGGATGGCTCTTCCAAAATCGTGAAATTCATGGCCCCAGGATCGGGGTCTGGTGTGAGGGTGGGGCTTTATTGATCATATAGTAAAAATGCATAAATCTTTATAAACAACCGTTTGGGGAAATGATTTGATGTGGAAGTAGTAAAAGAATGTGATAGGAACCCATGGTTAGTAAAAATTTGAGATGGCAGCATAAATAAACGGAGAAATATATTGAGAAACAGCACATGTTAAATATACACTTTTTTACACTGTAGCTCTCTGGTTGTCCATCCCTCTTTTTTCAGACCAGCAAACTACAGATCTGCAGCAAGGCTAAAGGGTCAAGGATTCTGGTGTGGGGGCAGGGCTCTATTGATTATGTAGAAATGCATAAATTCTGTGAAAATCTTAATTGTATCACTGATGGCACCTGATTCCACCACTGATGTTTTTGGAGGTCCGTGTTTGCTCCCATTTTGTATTGTTTACTGTAGATTCCTAAATATACATGAGGAATAAATTATCGCGTAATTACGTGAGAAGCACCACTCGCGAAATAAAATTACTCGCTTTTATTTTTATAGTGCTTTAATGTATGTAAAATCTCTAGATAAATCAAAGATTCGTGAATTTTTGTTCTCGCGATTTGACGCCCTTGGGCCATTTCGCGATATTAAGTACTCGCGTAAAATAAGGAATCTACAGTAAATGGACTTTGATCTTGAATACTGTTTGTTATATCCATATTTCATTGTAATGAGGAAGGTGTTTTTACCAGATTTTTGAAATTCTTGACCACTGGATCAAGCGTTCTGGTGCTGGGAAGGGTTCTTTTGATATTGTTAGGGAAAGACGGTTCGTGTGATGCTTTGGTGCCATTTTATATCCGTGATCAGATAGACCTGAACATGTACAAAATATATAACAGTACTTTATACCCAAAGATATCAGTTTATTTTTGGCAAATTTACTTGGTCGATAGTGGTAACATCCGTATTCAGTTCTTTGTACTCTACAGAGAGAAGTTATTCCCCTTTGCTATTTACTTATGATAATTGATAACTGTAAATAATGCAATTGATTGGTCAAACTGTATAAATAATTAAACAAGAATTTTTAATGGATAATATAGAAAGTACTTACTTAGTTTTTAATTGTCATGTAGACATGTAAATAATAAATATATAAAATGGGACAAAAATACCCTATGTTCATGCATACATTGTATACTCTTCAAAGACCAAGAGAAGTTAATGTGCGAGGGAATGTGTAAGACTTACTACATTTTATCAAGCATATTGAATTATTTAGTCTGCATGATGACAGTGACAGAAGGGAGTGTATAAGTATTGGCAAGTAAATATTTCCATGATTTATTACTGAGAACTAAACTACATTGTAACTATTTTATTGATCCCTGATTATCCTTTTTCTCTCAGTTTATTTTGTTTTATTTCATACTTCAGTGGATCCTTTACAGTGTTATATTATACTCAGGTGACTAGTAAGGCCCTTGGGCCTCTTGTTCAAATTGATACCTATATGCAGTTACATATACATGTACTAGGTTATGTGGAATGTTGCTTAATTTATAAATTAGGGCCATGGGGATTCATTTGGCAGAGAGAACAATGTGATTCAAGTGAGTAGTGTGGGCCATTAATCTCTAATTCACTTGACATTTTTATTTGACTCTTTAGGAATTCGTCAAGGCAGGTACACTGCTACAGAGAGGGCACATGCTATTGAGGAAATTAAGCGCTACAAACGACAGAATAGCAATAGTTCATTATCACAAGACAACCAGGCAAAGAGTTCAGATCAGGGCTTGAATCACAGTAGCACCAGTGAATGTCTAGATTTATCATTACCAAAACAAGGGGAATCAGCAAATGTAGAGACTGCTGGAATTAATGGAGTTTTGTGTAACAGTTCTGAAAAGGTTACTGGTTCTAATGAAAGCTTAAAAGTTGGGAAGCTGTGGCCTCATATCGGCACTGAGATGGTCACTCTGATAGACAATGTAGTGAAGGGCTATCATGAACTCAATCCACATATTATGACGCTGACTGATGAAGAGGCAGACAAAATCATGAAGGAAGGCTATGTGAGTTTTATTGCAATTTTATTTAATAAGTTATGTGTAGCATTGAATTCAATATTTCTCTCTTTTGAATCTACATATTATACCACCCTAAACAAATGGGGGGGGGGGGGGCACCTTGTATGTCTGGTTTTCTGTCTTTCTTGCAAATCATGCCTGGCCCATATAATGAAGAAACAATGGATGCTCATTTTTTAACACAATGATTGCTTATGACATGATGATATGCTGTGACCTTGACCCAAGGCTATTATTCTGTCAAGTTCAAGGTCACTGACAGAAAAAAAGTGTTAAATTTGTGTCAGGTCCATATACCTTTCTAATGGTAAAATATTGGAAAGTCATACAAAGATTGCTTATGACCTGAAAGTGTGTAATAAGGACTTTTTATCAAGTTCAAGCCCAGATCACTTTTCAAAGATTGTTGCGTGGACCCTGAGGTCTACGCAGAAAATATGTAAGTCAAGATTGTATCATTCCTGTCCTTACCATACATGTATCTTCTGATGGAGAAATTTTGAAGCTCATACTTTAAGGTAGCTAAGTACACCTGACCCAAAAAATACCTCTTACCGGTAATATTTTTTATGCCCCGCCATAAATATGGCCGGAGCATATAGTGTTTGTCATGTCCATCTTCCGTCCTTCCATCCTTCTGTCTGTCTTTCCATCATGCTTTGCGTTTAGCTCTGTTCAAAGCCCAGTTTCAAAGAAACTATCCAAGATATTTTTATCAAACTTCATATGCTAATAGATATTGATGAGAGCTATGCAACTGCATCATCATTTTTTGACCTTGACCTTTCCTTTGACCTTGACCTCACTTTTCTTAAATTAGTGTTTAGCTTAGTTTTAAAGATACCATTCAAGATAGTGTAATCAAACTTCATATGTTGATACATACTGATGTAAGCTATTCAACTGCATCAAAATTTTTTGACCTTGACCTTTCCTTTGACCTTGACCTCACTTTTCTTAAATTAGTGTTTAGCTCAGTTTTAATGAAATCATTCAATGTAGTGTTTATATAAAACGAACACAAATGATTATTTACAATTTATTCAAATTGCCTTCTAGTAACTACTCAGCTATTATGAAATCAAAACAAACCATACATGAAAATTACACATGCAAATAATATATTTACAGTACTTAGTTATATACACTAATAACATTTATCAAACTTCATATGGTGATACAAACTGATGAGAGCTATTCAACTGCATCAATATTTTTTGACCTTGACCTTTCCTTTGACCTTGATCTTGACCTCACTTTTCTTAAATTAGTGTTTAGCTCAGTTTTAAAGAAACCATTCAATGTAGTGTTATCAAACTTCATATACTGATACATACTGATGAAAACTATTAAATTGACCTTGACCTTTCCTTTGACCTCACTTTTCTTGAATTAGTGTCAAACTTCATATGCTGATACATGCTGGTGTAATCTATTCAACTGCATCAACATTTTTTGACCTTGACCTTTCCTTTGACCTTAACTTCATTTATTGTAAAATAGTGTATAGCTCAGTTTAAATAAACCATTCAAAATATTTTTATCAAACTTAATATGCTGATATGTATTTGTGAGAACTATTCAACTGCATCAAAAACGGTTGACCTTGAACTTTCCTGTGACCTTGACCTCACTTTTCTTAAATTTGCAGTTTGCTTAATTTTAAAGAAACCATTTAAGATATATTTATGTAAGCTTATGCACTTATACATAATTTGGTGAGAATTTATCATCTGTATCCAACTTTTTAGATTTCAATTTCAATTTTTAAGAAGCTATTCAAGATATTCTCATCAAATTTCATACATTAATACAAATTTTCATGTTGCATTACTAATATACCCTCGGCAGGGCATTCATGTCCTATGGACATATTTCTAGTTGCTGAAATTTTCACATTGCACAAAGCATTGTGTAATAAATATTTAGTGGAAATATGAACTTGGCATCAAGGATTAATTACGAACCAGGGGGTAATGAGTTACCGTCCCTTTCCAGTCACTCCAAAAATCATAATACAACATATATAAATGTATTATGCAATATGCATTCAATATTTAAAATAATTTTAACAATTTTGATACTGTAAACTAATTTAAACAATAGATTGTTTGAATGGAAATATTGCATAAAAAACTTTAAATTTAACAAATTTGGCTATTTTCATGCACACAAATTTGATTATTTTTAAATTTAAAAAAAAAATTGTCCAATAGATATTTTATATTTTATCATTATGTTAAAGATTTGTTCAATACCTTTCTTCACTCAAGAAATCTTGGTCACATTGAGGGCTAAATAAAGGTACTTAATGGTTTACTACCCCTCTCAGTGTTTTCAATAAGATTTTCAATAGCAGGAAATATATTTGGAACAGCAGGAAATCAATCTAGGCGAGGGGTATGGGGGCCGAAAACGAAAATTGGCATTTTTGACTCATTTTTCTTACCTCTCAGGCCAATAAATTTTTCACATATCTGTCACTATCAATTACCAAATTTTACCTAATAAAGCCATTTAGAAAACAATTTGTACCCTTTCACTGATTTGTTATATGGACTTTTGACAGATTGATTTTTTTTTCCTGAAAACCAGGTGTCTGTAAAAACATTAAGACAACTTAAGTATGAAATTCTAGCACAGCACAGACAATGTTTGTGCTAGAATTTCATACTGAAAATGCTACATAATTAGTCCCTTTCACATTAACTGGTCAAAAAAATTATTCAAAATTAAGGAAATAATTTAATAAAAAATTTAAGAACTTTTTAACACGTAGTGACGTACAATACCCCCCAAAAATTGAAATATTCTGCAATCTTAGACTAAAATATCATAAACCTTTCAATTTATTTACTATTTTGTACAGATTGTCAGAACGAAATAATTAAGAAAATGGATACAAATACAAACTACTAGTACATAAAAAGCTTCTTAAATGTGAAATGTTACACTGTTCCTGTATTTCAAGAGAGCTAACACAAATAAACGAGAATACAAATTTACATTTTCAATTTGAGGAAATTCTGTAAGAATTAATTCCTATGTCCCACGTCTGAGTCACGATTGAAAAATTAAGACTTTAATTTGTAAGGTCTTAAAATTATATCGGTCTAGATATAAATAGTTTCTGTTGTGATAATCTTGACCTAGCTTGTGGAGTGACAGTGAATGTTAAAAAAAAACATTTATTTTCCTGTTCGACATTTTAGGCCGTAGATACCTGACGCTTGCGTCAATGAAACCCCAAATTCTCAATAATCTTGATCATATCCTGTATAACTAAAGTTAAATCGCGATCGTTGAGTTGTGAATTTTATATGAGGTTGGAATTATTCTTTAAAAATTTATTCTTAAAACTTTACTCTCGCAAGTTATAGCCTTGTTCAGTAGTTGTAGTACGTATTGGATCAAATCAAACTTCCATGAAAAAGAGCGCACTCAAGGGAAGTTACTCTATATCATGTAGATAGTCCGAATTATGGAAATCTCACAGCCGGCAAAATTTCTCGTACAGGCGGTTAATGTTGCCGGATGCCGGCTCTTATTGAAAACACTGCCCCTTCCCCTGCCCCCACCCCCTTCTTTTCCTGTCAAGAAAATAAAAATAATGATTGAAATGCAATTAAAAAAAAATCAATGCAAATTTAAAAAAAAAAACAACTGATGAAATGAGTTATAAGTACAAAACTATGTCTAATAAATGATTGATGAAAATATTAAGGGGGCTCTCTACAGTGTCAAAGCATGGTGTTCGAAACACTATTTTGGTCGGAAATGGTACCGATTTTGTCCTGAACAAATTCACTAGACACCAATAAATCACCGGGTGTAATGCAACATGCGATATTTGTTCTCTTATTGTGAACAGAATGTATCCCCTTGAAGCGACAAGAGTGGCCAATGTACCCTGTCTTTAAACATGAATTGTTGACAATATATTCATTACAACTTATTTTATTCAAAAGGGATATATTTGCAAACTTATTAAAATATGATTATAAGTAAATAAACCCACTCATATGTTTCTATAAAGTCCTAAATTGTCCACATCAAGTCTACATCAAAATGTATTCCCCAAAATGTCTATATCCTATATATAGAATTTCAGTGAACATGCATATAACTTACAGTAGTTTACAATAAATTGCCAATTTTCTACACTTATTAAACTTTGCATAACAAAATTCAGATGATGACATTACCAGTATCACTGTATACTGACAGCAAGACCCCTTGGTCTGCTATCCAGCATCAAAATTGCATTCCAATTGGTCCGCTATAGCATTCTTGGTCTAGCCATCCAACAAGACTCCTTGGCCTGGTTGCACAATAGAGGCTGAAATCTCTTTTTCTTCAATGTGGTGGCACCAATAGGTGGAGTGTTATAGGTGCTGAGAAAATTTACTACTGTACATGGGTTGGTCTAATACCAGAATGTACCATGGCTGAAAAAAAAAATTACAGCAAAATATATACAGACAAAAACAAACTAATGGCTGATTTTTTTTTTTTTTTTTTTTTTTTTGTGATGGAAAACATAGATAATATGTCCCCAATCATCTTTGAAATAAAAATAAATAACCTATACTTCACTGGCATATAAATAAATAATCTGACACCCCAAAAATTTGCCCCCCCCCCCCACCCCCCACCCCTTTGAATCAAATGTCAGTTCCCTACAGTTTGCAAAGGAAAAGATTTATATTCAATGGCATGATGAATTACAGTTTTGTCTGAAGTTTGAAATGTACATCTATATACAATGTACGAGGGGTTATCAAAAAGTTCGTGGACTAGCGTCATAAAATTAAAACCGCTTAAGATACATCAATGAATTTTTAAACATTAAATAAGCATCTTCTTTTCTATCCGTAAAATAAACTATAAATCATAAGTTTTATTTTTGAGTGAATCGTAAATGTTTTTGTAAGCAATGGCAGGTCAAGGCGGCGCAACCTCGAACATGACGTATTTTCTACCTG